CAATCCTGGGCACAGGCTGATCCTCCTCCTTGGGGAGCGTGCCCTGTGAGCACAGCCCCTCAGAGGACACCCTCCCGCCCGCACACGGCTGCCTCAGCAGCTCCAGCAGGGACTGCTGCGCCAGCAAAGGCATCTCAGAGGGTCACACGCAGAAACTGAGACATGGAGCAGCACACTCAGGTTCCCAGGCAGAGCACGGCTTCCTCAGGCTCCTCAGCTCACCACAAGCACGGCCCACATCCCCTCACCCCCACCCCAGCACAGCTGTGTCCCCCACCCCCAGGCAGCCCCGCATACCGTGGGGTCCTGGAAGGACACGTCGCAGTGCTCATCGCTCCTCTCGCAAGGCTGGCTGCCACAGCGGGTGCCCGACGGTGGCAGGGTGGCCTGAGAGGGGCTGAGGTGGCCGGTGGAGAGACTGCCGTGATGGCTTTTCCTCCCGTAGCTCTCCAGGTAGCCACGGACATAATCGGAGTGGGTGGCAGCCTGGTAGAGACCCTGCAGGTTGCCGAGCTCCGGCCGGGCGCGGGTGCTGAGCGCGCCGGCCGCGGGCAGGTAGGCGCTGTCTGAGGTGTGCAGCCCCGAGAACTCCCGCGCCAGGTCCGAGTGGCTGATGGATTTGTGGCGGCTGAGGGGCGCTGAGGAGGGCAGGTAGCCCGTGGGGCTGCCGGGGGTACCGGAGAAGGTGTAGCAGGCACCTCCGCTGAGCCCGGCGCCGGGCGGCCGCGGCTGCGTGCGGAGGTATGAGGGGCTCAGGCGGATGCTGGGGTCGGGGTACAGCCGGCCGCTGTCATAGCCACTGGTTGGGGACAGCCCTCCAGCGTGGTGGTAGCGGGGGGAGGGCAGGTAGCTGGCTTTGAAGCCGATTTTGTCGCTGTCTGCGTAGGCGGTGGACAGGGTGGATCCATAGGAGCTGTAGGAGCTGTAGCCGCTGGGCACTTTGCTGTAGGTGCTCTCGGCGTAGCGGGAGGAGTCCACGTATCGCTTCAGGGTGGAGGAGAGCTGGGACATGCTGCAGGCTGGGGCTCAGCAGGCTGTCCTGGCGGCATCGGCTGCAAGGGAAGAGTCCAGGGATCAGTTCCACAGGCCCTGCTCAGCACAACGGGGCACCCAGCACCTCCTGCCTCCCCTGGAGATCCCGGGAGACAGAGGAGATCCAGGGGCTGTTGGTGACAGTGTGGCCATGGCTCCTGCCACCTGCCAGCCTTCCAGGACAGTCTGGAACAGCAGGACCCAGCTGGCACTGCCACCCCCATGCCCCCAGGCACCTCAAACCACAGAAGGGAGCCCCAGGGCACAGCCAGGTGCACCCAGCATCCCCATAGACACCAAGGAACTGCAGCAGTCACCTCTGCCCCAACCCTGGCATCCCTGCCACACCACCCCATGGTTGTCCCACTCTTGGGGCTAGAGACATATCCTCAGTGTCTCCTCCAGGTGGGAGTTAGTGGCCTGGTCACAGGATGATGCCCAGGCCCAGCTCTGGCTGAGACAGGCAGCTGGGATGGGCCAATCCAGCCAGACCAGCACCTTCCCCTGGTTACTCACAGGGAGTGCTGGGGCTTGGCAAAGGGCTGGCATTTCAGTGAGAGGGAAACTGAGGCAAGGCCAGCATCTGAGCAGCTTTCCCATCTCTCTGCCATGGCTGTGCCCCGTATGCCCCCATCAGTAACTCAAGCCGAGTGTCCTCCTGGTGAGGTGGCAGCCGTGTCCCTGCCAGCCAGGCAGAGCCAGCACTCGGTCCCCACAGAAAGCTGGTGGCTCCCACACAGGGCAGGAGAGGAGGACACAGAGACAGGGATAGAGGCCCCCAGAGCACTCACAGAGCCAACCCGGAGCAGCGACAGGGCAGTGTGGCAGCCAGCAGTCCCCAAACACAGGCTGTCAGGAGCTGGAGGAGAATTTGCCCTCAGCAGCCCAGCTGGCAGGCTGATGGCTGGATCCCTACCTGTGCTGAGGCTGTGGGTGGCACTAGGGCAGGCAGGACCCAGCCGAGCTCCTCTGCCCTGGTGCTGCCGGTGCTCAGCTCCCGGGATGACTGGTGTCCCTTCCCTGGCAGGACAGTGGCTCATGTGGCTCGGAGAGTCTCCAGTCACCCGGGAGATGACCCTGATTCAAAGGCTTTTCCCAGCCCAGCCGGGGCGGGCTCTGGCCCGGCTCCAAGCCAGGAGGTGCCGGAGTCTGTGCCTGGCCCGTCCCTTGCAGCACCGAGGGTGCACCCGGGCTTGGGGACGGGCGCTGGATCGCGGCACGAGGAGCCACCGCGGGTCACTGCCAGCCTGGCCCTGGGGGACACAGCCTCCTGCTCAGAGCCCCTCAGGCTCAGGGTGGAAACGCCCCGGGAACGCTTCTAGGAGGGGGTGGTGAGAGAGAGCAGGCAGCCCCGGTGGGCTCCTGGCGGGCAGCCTGGCTTTGCAGCCAGCCGGCTGCATCCCGGGAGCTGCTTTAACTGCCCAGGGAACAGCCATCCCACCGCGGAGAGGGAAATATTTACAAGCAGCAACGAGGTGGAGCGCACAGACCTGTTTGGGGACGGAGGCTGAAGGGTGAATAATCTGCTCCCGGGCAAGGGCGCCACGAAACACCCGGCTCGGCTCTTCCCAGCCTGGCTGCGGCCGCCCCTCACCAGGAGCGGGGCTCTGCCAGTCAGGATTGGACATGGACAGCGGGGAATTTCACTCACAGGGAGTGGGACCCCAGCCAAGAGACTGGCACTAGAGTGCCAGGATGGGAGTGACGGAGCCCCTGGGCTCCCAGGGAGCACATGCCTGGCTGCCTGCCCTGCTGGGGCACGGAGCAGCCTGGCACAGCGGCTGCCCCTGCTCCCCATCCTCCTCGCCAGCAGAGATGATCTTGGCTTGGAACAGTGCCAGGACAGCCCCACGCCATCATCCCCTGCCAGGTGCCCACGCTCTCTCCTGGCACCAGCAGCATCACGAGAGCACCAGTTTGGGAAGAGGAGGGCTGCAGGAGCTCCTGGCAGCAGGACAGGTCTCCACAGGGCAGCACCTGCCCTGGGGATGCAGAGCAGCCGATGGAGGGATGCAGGGTCAGGAGCAGCACCGGCCCCAGACACGGGAGCTATCCCTTCCTTGGGAAGAGAGGCCTTACCATGGAGGAATGTCACATCTGCCAGGCTTGCCTGTGCTTCCAAGTCCCCATGTCACATCCGAGCAGACCCCAGGGCGGCGGGAGAGCGGAGCGTGGCAGGAGCCAGAGGAGCTGAGGGGGTGTGAGAAAACCCCGGTTCCTCCCAGCGCTTCCTGGGCTGCCTGGCCCCTCCCTACCCGTCATTGTGCTGAGCTTTCCTGCTGCCTGGCAAAGCCCTGGGGCCGGCACGGCTGAGTCAGGCCTCCTGCACCCTCATCATCCTCCCGGGGTGTCAGGGGAAGCTGAGGCACAGGAATGTCCGGTCTGCGCTCACGGGGCCACACAGGAGCGGTGCCACCACATGGGAGAGGGACACCACGGGGCTGCTTGGACACTGGGCAGTCCTGCCCTGGCCTTCCCTGGGAATCTCAGCTCAAAGTGAGGAGGCAAAACGCTCACTGTGGAGGCAGAGAAGCAGAGCCCTGCTCTGTCCCCAGTTGCTGTCCTGCCCGTGCCCAGTGGCAGGTGTCCCCTCTGTCCTGCCCGTGCCTGGTGGCAGCTGTCCCCCTCGGTGGCCACGGAGCCCCAGAGCGGGCTCGGCTCAGCTTACACAGCGCTGGCTCCATCCAAGGTGTCACAGCACAGCTGCTTCTCGCTTACGCAGGCTTGGAGCTGTGTCCCCTGTCCCCTGAGACACAATGTCCCAGCCTGGAGGTTACGTGGGAGCTCCCAGGACTCTGCCGTGGTGGAGGCACAGAGAGGACCCTGTGTGAGGCACTTTGCACGCTTCAGGGTACAAGTGCTTTGGGGTTGAGGGGCTCTGTGTCCAGCTGAGTGGGGTGGGACAGCCTCCTGCCCATTCCCCAAGGGAAACAAGGCACAGAATCCTCCAGGTATCCATTTCCCTCTAGGAAGGGTGACCCTGAGCAGCCCTGGGGGAAATGTGCCACGAATCTTTTGCTCCCTGGAAGGGACTGGAGTGACCCTTGTTGACAGATGGGAACTGCAGTGCCTCTGTCACAGCCCAGCTCCTGACTTGCCCCCAACCACTCCCACCCCCCAAAGTGACAGGCCCTGCCCAAGGTGACTCACCCAGCCTGGGCCAGCCTGGCCAGGGCCCTTCCCCTGCCAGCCCTGGGCCTGAGAACCCCCCAAGCTCACCCCACACGGCCGGGAGTCACTGCCCTGGCCCCGCTCTGTGCTGCTGACACATCCCCACCCTGCTGCAGAACCTGCTGCTCGCTGCTCCTGGGCCACCCCCCGGGCACCAAAACCCCAAACCCACCGGGGACCCTGACGTAAGACCCAGGGCATGAGTTACTGCTTTGAGGTCTGTGGGTGGCAAAAAAAAGAAGGGACCCTCGGGCAGGTGCTCTGCCCACACCGGGGGACAAGGAGAGTGCCAGGGAGGGCTCAAAGCCAGGATTTTGTGTGTGAACTCAGAGCTTTCTCCCTGGAGAGAAACCTCTCCCCCGTGGTGTTATCCAGCTGAAGGAAGAATGGGACAGTTTTGTCTGTCTCCGTGTCCCCCTCCCGGGGCGGTGTCCCCACCTGCACTCACCTGCATGTGGCGCGGGTGGCCGATGGCTGCTCAGGGCACTGCGAGGGGCGACCAGCCAGGCATTCGGTGATGCCCTCGGGGCTGATCCTGCCTCCTTGGGGAGCTTCCCCCGGCACCGGAGATGGGCGATGTGGAGATGGGCAGCAGCCGAGCCCTTCTCAGGGGACAGGACACCCCCGGCTCAGCCCCTCCACCCTGGGAGGGAGCGCAGTGGCCGGAGGGGGCCGAGCCCGAGGGCTGTGGGGCCACGTAAAAACACCACCGCAGAAATTCAGGGCTCAGGTTACCAGCCAGATAAATATAGTGTCTTTATCTGACCTCACAGGGCGCTGAAATGCTCCTCTCGCATTCCAGCTTGGGGAGGCTTAAAGGGGACGCCAACCCGGGGGGGCTGGTGGCCCACGGCAAGGGGGTGCCGCGAGGGGAGGCTGCGGGGCACGGGGGCTGTGCCAATGGAGGAGGAGGACGGAGGGTAAGCGTGAGGAAGGGAGAGATTTGTGGCGGGAGGTCGAGGTCCAGGAGGGAAAGGATAGAGGGAGGGTTAAGGGAGGGAGGGGGGGGCACACGACTTGGTGTGGGGGGAGGGAGGCACAAAAAAGGGGTGGTCGTGGCTGCCAGCAAGGTTTGGAGTAGAGAATCAGGGTGAGGGGAGCAGCTGGACTGGGTTTTGCCCGCTGTGGGGTGAGCTGTAGGGAGAAGAGCCCCCTAAACCTTCAGCAAAGGTGGGCATGGGGCAGCTGGCGTGGCATGGCCACCCCTCATGGATCCATGGGGACACCGGGGCGCCGCTCCGGGACGCCTGACCCGCCCAGCCCACGGCACCTGCGTGGCCGTGACTCAGCGAGCACCTGCTGGGGATAATGGGGAGGGATGTAATTAGGGTGGCATCTTCCTCCCTCCCTCCCGTCTGGCTCCAGCCCTTAAACAGGGAGGGAACGCGTCGGGGCGTCGCTCTGGGAGGTGGCGCAGGGTCACCAATGGTGTTAAGGGGTGGTGGCAGTCTCCTGCTGGTGGCTCCTGGTGCCAGGGTGGTATCTTGACTCTGGGCAGGGCAGTGTATGGCTGCTCCAGAGGACACGGGAGCCCTTGGCAGCCCCCCAGGCAGCGTGTGGGCACGGGGGCTCCAGCAGGACCCTGGTATGATGGGCACAGGAGCTTTGGGACACGTGCACACCCAGCCCCGCTCCCATGGCCACTTCCATCCCTGGCAATTCCCTCCCCGGAGGACGGATGGGCCAGCACCAGACCTGGTCCCCTGCTTTCCCTCCCTGCCGCCACTGTGGGCAGTAGGTGGCCTCTGAGATGGAGCTGGGGGTTTAGAGACAGGGATGGGGACAAAGGGCCTGGGTCCAGTTGGGCAGGAGGGGGTTGCTCTGCCCAGGAACGTTGCCCCTCTGCCTGCTTCTCTCCCACAGACATTGGGGTGCTGGAGGCACAGGAGGGTTGCCTGGAGAGCTGTACCCCTCAGCAGGGTCCTGGTGCCCAGCCCCACACAGCCCTTGTCCCCACCGCCGCACACACGGGCGCCTGTGGCTCCAACACACAACCTAGGTAGGGTTTTATTGTGCAGACAGAGGAACACTCCTGGATGGTAAGGTGGTTTTTGTTGTTGTTGTTGTTGCTTTTCATAGGGTTCTTTTTTTTTTCCCATTTTTTTTTCCTATTCCCTTAACAGAATTTCTTTGACGACAAGCTGTGGAAACAACTACAAATGTTCACAAAAAAATGAGACTCGAGCCGCGTCCGCGCTCTGCCGCTGGGCTCTGCGCTTGCCCCGGCGCTCGCCAGCACGCCCAGGGAGCTGGGCACAGCCAGGCCTCAGCTGGGCACGGCCTCAGCAGCACTAGACAGCAAGCAAGCAGGCAGGGATGGGCAGGGGATGGGCACGGGGGTAGGAAGCAGCTCTGGAGAGGAGCAAGGAGTGGGGAGCAGCTGCTGTGTATTGCTCTCAGCCGTGGTGGCACAGCCCGGGCTGCACGGGTCTCACAGCTGGGGTTCACCCCATGCACCTGGATGCTCCTGCCTGCCTCTTCCTTTCCCTGTGTCCTCCCCTGAGTGAGGCTCCTCGGGGTCCCGTGGGCATCCAGGCAGCAGATCTGAGCTGTGCTGGCCATCCCTGTCCTTGCTCTCGCCAACCCCTGGCACCATCCTGGCCTTACCGAGGTTGTGGGCTGCCCTTCCGTCCTTTGCTGCTCTTAAAGGGAGACAGGGAAATGCTGAAAGGTAGGAGGGAGAAGGGAGGGGGCACACAGGCTCCTCCCAGGAGCATGGTGGGATTTGAGGAAGACTGCTCTGCCTCTCTATGAGGAAGGACTGGGGTCCCCAGATGTTCCCTTAGGAAAGACAAGGTGCCAGTGCCGGGAAGTCCCTATGGAGACCCTGGGGTCACACTCCCAGGGGGGAACCCCCTCCCCACCAGCCAGCCGGGGTGCAGCTTTGAGGGCCCTGGGGCAGGCAGTGGGGCTGTGGCTAGCTCAGAGAGGCTCTGCTTGCCTCCACTGGTGCTGGCAGCAATTCTCTCGTCACAGCTAAGGGCTGGTCCCCAGGGAGAGCGAGTGATGTCTGGCTCGGGCAGCCCAAAGGAACCAGATGGTGTCTGGAGGAGGCCTCACTTCCAGCTCAGCTGTAAGAAACAGATTAGGAAAAACTTGATGCCGAAGCACATTTGCACTGAGCCCGTTCCCAGGGCCCCAGAGGAGCCCTAAGGAGGCAGGGGGGCTTCATGGTGTCTCCTAGACCTGCTCCTCTCTCTCCTCCCCCAGCCTGCCAGGCCCAGCAGCATCCCATGGCTCCCCTGCTCACTGAGACAGGAGTAATTTTGTGCCCTCTCCCAGCCGTGGCAGCTCAGGTGAGAGGAGCAGGGTGAGGAATAAGTCACCTGGGTGGCAGGCAGGGTGGGTGGGGACACCAAGAGCCCTGTCACCTCCAGGAGCCACAGCACACCACCCACCACAAGCACAGCACCCACCATGGGCACCCTCTGCATGCTTTCGCATCACCCCTCTCTCTTACCTGCCAATGCAGCTGTCTTTCCCCAGACTTGAGAACAGGCAAACCCCAAGAGTTAAAGGGATGGGACAAGCGAGGCTGAGGCCTCCAGTTCTCCCAGCACAAGCAAACCAGCCAGCCTACGGAGCGGGGAGGCGCGATGGGAGAAGCAACGCTGCCTAGCAGAGCCACCATGCTTCGGAGCGGGGCGTGTGTGCATGGGATGGTGGGCCTCGGCACAGGATGGTGGTTAGCGTTAATATACGGCTAAATAGAGATAACACAGAGAGGTTTCACGGCTTCCAGACGCTTCAGCTTCTCTTTCCAGGGGCTGCGAGGAAGGCGGGGTGGCTGGGGTGCTCAGTGTGTGCGTGCGTGTGTGTGCGAGCGCTGTGAGTGTGTGTGTGTTTCGCCTTTCAGAGGGACACGAAGTCCACGGCTTGCAGGAGAGGCAGGGAAAGGAGCAGCAGCAGGAGCCACGAGGTGTTCTGGATCAAGAGGCTGAAGCCGGCGCATTTCTCCAGTTTGTCTGTGAGGAGAAGGAATGGGGAGGGAGAGAAGAGAGGCAATGAAATCCCTCGGGAGTTCTAATGGTACTGGAACACAGCTTCTTGCAATGCAGCACGCCCCATCCTGGCCTGTTTCCCTCCTAACATGTAGCAGCAAAGATTTTTTGAGACCCTGAGAAGCATAACCCTGCCTGTGCCTGACTGAGGTGACAAGTGGATGGGCACCAGGTGACACAAAGGTCTCTGCATCTGGAGGAGTGCTCCTGTGGGATGCAAGTGTGGAGGATCCCCACTGTCCTCTCTATGGGAGGATATCTAGGCAATGTGCCCGAGGTGGGACCCAAGAGAGGCAGGAAAAGCACTGTGAGATGGGGTAGAGTGAGTCCATCTGTGGGATGAAACCCACCTGAAGGGCATGTAAGGGTTAGGACATAATTTATGGACTCAGGGAGGATCCGGGGACAGGGAGTTGTGGTGTTCTCTGCTGGTCAGAGCAGGTGGGAAGGACTGAGGCCAGGTGCCACTGCCTGTCTCACCTTTGATAACAGTGATGTTCTTTATCTGGTTGCCAGTGTAGTCGTTGGTGGCCTTCAGCTCGCACATGTAGATGCCCTCATCGCTGGTGGTGAAGCTCTGCAGGTGGAGGCACACCAGGTTCTTGTGCATGGTGACGTTGGCTCGGCTCCGGTAGATGTTCTCGGAGACGCTGATGGTGCTGTGGATGACGTGCTTCCTGTTGTCCTTGGTGATGCTGAACTCGTAGGTCAGGGGGTTGTCGGTTTTGTTCTCATAGCGACAGTCCACGCGCAGGTTCTGGCCCAGCAGGCAGGCACTCAGGTCTTTGATCATCTGGCAGTTGGCGGCCTGGAGGACTGGGGAGAGGCAGGAGGGGGTTGGACAGGGATCTGGGGGTGCCCATACAGCCTCCAGGCTGGTGTGGGCTGAGCAGGGAGCAGGGAGGGATGTACCTGTCAGGATGACAGCAATGCCCACAGTGGGGTTCATCTTGCTGCTGAGGTGCCCGGGGGGGCTGTCTCTGAGAGGGGAACCTGGGCAGGGGGAGAGAGAGGCAGTTAGCCAGGCCCTGCCCCATGGGTGTGGGCACTCGGTGGTGCAGGCTGCCCTTCTTGCATAGATGATGCTCTAGTGCCTGCTCCTCCTCGCCAGTGTCTGCTTCACTGCACAGAGCCTGGCTGGCACTGCACCCAGCTGGGGAAGCAGGCGCTGTGTGTCTGCCCAGCATCATCTTTGCACATGCCCAGGCAATGCCCCATCCACACTTTGTTTTCCCTTGTCCAGATCCCCCCAGCAGACATTAAATGAGCATGGCCAGACCTGCAGCAAGGCCTGCATGTCCAGTCTCCTCCCCCTTTTGCCCCATGGCCAGCCAAGGTTTGGATAGGTGAAACCAGGCTGCACCCCAGTGCCCGCACACTTTGACCAGAGGTCTTTGGCTCATGGTGAAGGGGCTGCCAGCTGAGGGACCCTCTTAGGGGGCAGTGGGTGCCCGCCCTGCCAGTTCTTGAGCAGCTCCAGCGGGTGAGCTCAGCAAGGATGAGTCATTGCGATGCAGTGAGGGAAAGGGGCCAAGAGCAGTGAGGAAGAGGGACACAGCAGCTGGACAGTGAGCCAAGACCACCGAAAGATGGCACAAAGCCTCCAGGAGCTGAGCTCAGCCTGCCTGGCCATGGGGTGGAAGGGGTTTGGGTGGCAGCATCCACTGAGTCCCTGCCCAATGCCTGTCTCTCTCCAGGCTGCGTGTGTGGGTAAGGGGCCCGTGATGTGCCATCCAAACACCAGGGCTGCTGATTCCAGTTAGCCCAATGCAGCCACAAGGAATCAATTAAAGATTTGCAGCCTGGCCAAGCAGCCGCGTGGGGAATCCAGCCGCAGACATGCGGAATGGAGGGACAGTGTGGGGGAGCAGCGAGGCAGCCGGGCTGAAGGACACACCAAGCGTCCTGCAGTCAGCTCTCCAGGCTGGCCGTGTGGGGCCAGGTCCAAGAGGGGGAGCTGATAAGCCAGCCCTTCATAACTCCAGGCTGGCAGAGGGGACAACAGCCCCTCAGTTTGCTCCCTCTGAGCCTAGCAAAGCATCCAGGGAAGAGCTAGGAATTGCCTGTACCACAGCCAGCTACATTTTTCTATTTCACAATTTTTGGGTTTTTCATATAACGTTCCGAGAGGAAATACCAAACCCATTTGCTCACCCTGAAGCTCTGAAAAGTCTCTTTATCCAGAACCCTAACCCCTGGCCAGGAGGAAAAATTCTCTTCTCTTTGATCTTGACACCCAAGAGGTTGCCAATGGGGTAAATGCTTGAACCTCTGGATTCCTAGAAACTGTCCCTCCATCCCTTGCTTTGTCATTTCCCAGCATTAATCTGCTCCCTTTTGAATGTCCTGGGACACTATCTAGGTCATAGCCTGGCTTTCCTCCAGAAAATCCAAGCTCCCAGAGAGGGGGTTTTCCTCCCACCTATGTGCCCAAACACTCAGATTTTCTAGGCTCTGGGTTGATAGCCCTTGGACCCCTCTTCTCCTGCCAGCAGTGCTGGGAGCAGAGCAAGCCAGGTAACTCTCACTCCTGCATGATCCCAGGGGTTTGGCGTAGGGACAGGGCTCGGGGGACGGTGGCATTTGCGGGGCTCCAGCTCTTAGAGGGCAAAGTTCCTGGCGTGGTCCCCACCTGCTCGGGGTCACACCATGGTGGTACCTACCCCCTGTGCCCAACAGCATGACAGGCTCAGAGTGACAAACGAGCTGCGGGGATGGGGACGGGGGCGTGCAGAGCCAGGCTGGTGGGCTGACGGAACGCAGAGCCGCAGGATCCTGGCTGTGCCGGGGGGTGGCTGCCAGCAAAGGGGGTGCACGGGGACGCGGTGTGCAGGGAAGAGCGATCGGGCGACCCTCGAGAGGGGCAGGAGGGCTCGGGGTGGGCGAGCTCCCCCCCTGCAGCAGCGCAGAGCGGGAGCGCGGCTGCGGTGCGGGCGTGCGCACGGGCGCGCCCACCGGGAATGCCGCAGTCCCGAGCCGAGGGTGGGGGGCACCGGCAGCGGGGCGAGAAGCTGAGCCCATCCCCTCCTCCAGCGCGCTCCGTCCGACCGAGCAGCCCCCGGGCGAGGGGCGAGATGCCCCCGGTGCCACCGCGGCGCCCGGCCACTGCGGACCCTCCCCCGCCCGCAGCCCCGCGTTGTGCCCCGAGCCCAGCGGCTGCTCCCGGCCCGGCAGCGTGCGGGGCGCTGCGGGGCGGCCGGTGCTTACCTGCGGGCGCTGTCCGGTGCTGCCCGCTGCCTGCGGGGCTGCCGGCGCTGTCCGGGGCTGCCCGGCGGGCTGTGGGCGCGGCGCTCCCGCAGTCTGGGCAGGGCTGGGCGGGCGGACCCAGCGAATGGGGACCGGGAGGCGTCACTGAGGCTCGGCCCCCGGCCCTGCGGTGGGGGGCGGTGCGGGGGGGCCCTGCCTCTGCGGGACTCGGACGCCCCCGCCCCGGACAAGGGGCGCGCACTGATGCGGAAGGTGCCGTTCGCCCCCCTTATGTTCCCCAGGAAGGGCGACACATCCCTATCGCCATGGGAACATCATTTTGCGGAAGAGCTGCCAACCCTCATCTTCCCCGGCAGCGTGGGAGGTGTTTTGCTGGGAAAGGAGGATGGTTGGGAAGGGGGAAAGGAGCCTGGTGTGGGCTTTGCTGAGGAGGGGGCAGAGGTATCATCCTCTGCCACCAAATGAGTTCAGCTCAGGTGCTCCAAGAGGCCACTCTGCACCAGGTCACCACAGGTCTCCTCCATGTGGGAAATAATTGTGAATCAATGATTCACAATGCTGAATCAAAGAATCACACAATCATTTAATTTGGGAAGGATCTTTAACACCATAAAGTCAAACTGCTAACCCAACACTGCCAAATCTACAGCTAAGCCATGGCCCCAAGTGTCACATCTACAGGCTCTGTCTGTGATGGCATTGGACACGGACCTTCAGTTTTCAGCCCAGGTCTGGTGACAATGAGGACACAGCAAGGTTTTCCTCCCCACAGGCTCCCATCAGCATGTTTGGAAATGGGATAAGCAGAGCTGCATTTGCCCAGGCAAAATGGCTTTGGATCCAGAAAGCAGCCTGGGACAAGACCTCTTCCCTGGTCTTTGTCAAGGTCACGTCAGCAGAGGAAGGCAGCAGCAGGGAGCTGTTCTCCCTGGGAGTTTGGGTCCAGAGGTATCCCAGGAAGGCACAGAAACACACAGGATAGCCTGCCCTGCCCTCACCTCCTCCCACAGCCCTGGCTGGGCCCTGCTAAAAGGGCTGACACTGGGAAAGTTGATATAAAAGTCATGTTCTCCTCCAGCAGAACCTGATCCCAGGTGACACTCGAGTGCTGAGGTTTTGCAAGCTGGCTGTGCAGGGGGTTTTGCTAATTCCACAGAAGCTTGGCTGTGGCTGCTTGCTTACTACATGGGCTGCAGGTGTGCTGGCCCAAACAGGGACAGCCCCCCAAGCTGGCCAGGGGGCCTGTGGTGCCCTGGGAGTGTTCAGCAGGGTCCCAGTGTACTGCCATGAGGAGGGCAAAGAGCTGACCCTTGTGGCAGTGGGGTGTTGAAGGCACTGTGGCAGCATGACACACCACACTGCTGGCTCAGTCTGGCAGGGCTGGCTAAGGATGGGAGGAGAGGCATGGCAAAACAACAGGGAAAGATACCGAGACTGGGAGCAGACGGATGCAAAGGCAAAGAGACAGACATGAGGCATGCTGCAATGTTGTTGTCAGGGGGGAAAATATTGCAAGCACAAGGTCTACATCCAAACACAGCTGTGATGTGGGGCAGCACATTTAACCACACACACACACATACACACACACACACACAAACTCACACGTGGGTCCTTTTCACATTTAGCCTCACATCTCCATAAGCTGCGTCTCCTCCGCATCCCCACCCTCAACTGCAGCTATTGCACAGTGAACCAGGGAATTCAAGCTCCAATTACTGGCTTCTAGAGGCATGCAGTAGCCCAAGTCCCACTGCGAGAGATTTGGGCTTCCTTTCAGTCTTTGGCTGTAGAGGCAGGCGTGAGTGTGCAGTATCTGGGCAGTGCTGGCAGCCACTGTCCTGCCTACGTGTTTGCAGGAGGCTCCTTGCAGAGGTTTTCCCTTTTGCTGCAGATTGCAGCCTGGCTGCTATCCCTAAACCAGAGAAAAGCACCCAAGTCACACCTAATGCAGAGGCCTCCGGATAGCAGCCAGAGGAAAGGAGTGGGGAGGAGAAAACCTGATGGAGAGGAGGGCAGGCAGTGTTTGCAGTGGAAGGTGTCAGTCAGGGAGACAGACAGCAAGAGGGACAAGGAGGCAGCCAAACAGGCACAGTGCAGCACAGCAGCGCAGACACCAGCAGGAACGAGTGGATGCGGCAGGACAGACAGACCAGCAGGCAGAAGCAGGGCACAGACAGCTCCCCTGGGAGCTCAGAGCAGCCAAACTGCCCCTGGATCCTCTCTGGAGAGAAAGCCAGGGCATGTGGGTGTTCCTGCTCCCAACAGCTCAGTAGCTGCAGGAGGCAGGCTAGGAGCAGAGGCTCTGAGGGGCATCATGACTCGGGTGTCTGGTGATGCTGCAGCAATTAAAACCTGGCCTTGCCCAAGGACATCCTGCTGCAGGCGACACCCTTCTAGGAGAAAGATGGATGCACATCCTTCCCAAGAGGAACATTTCTGCCCTGCCCTCAGCCTATCCCAAACACAGGAATTGGAGAGTCTCTCCCTTTTCCTCCTGCTCATGAATCACAGCACAGCAGCACACCCTGGGTCCTGCTCAAAACAATGCTCACACAGCAACCATTTGCTCCCACGCTGCCAGTTGCTGGGGAGAGGCGATGTAAGGACATGGACAACAGGACTTGGGGGCAGCCGTGCTGTGGAGACACCCCTGACACCCTCCCCAAGGCCATTAGAGCTGAGGAGTTGCAACATCAGTGGTAGAGCTGCAGAGATCACAGCCCAAGGAGTGACTGATGCTCACCTGCCTCACGGCTCAGCCCCTGCCCCAGAGACAGGAGGCCTGCAAAGGGTTTGCTCCTCACTGCATTAAGCCAAACCCAGGCCCTTCCCACCCCATCTTTGAGGGACAAGGAAGGGAGGCTGCAGAAGAGCTGTGCCCTTGATTGGAGGGACAGAATGGCCCTTGGGAGCCCAGTGAGGCCCCACAGATGCTAAATGTAGCACGGCCCAGATATTAAGCCCCTGGGCTTTGTGGCAGTGCTGCACAGAGCAGGGGTGGAGGAGACTGTGCTCCCCTGCTTCCTGCAGGTAGCACAGAGCCAGGGAAAACAGGGGCAGGCAGGACTCCTGCTGCAGCACTGCTTGGGGTCGCATCATCCTGGCAAAGGAGATGGCTGGCACAGAACCCCAGCCTTGGCGGCCTGTACCTGCTTTGTGCCTGTGTCCTGCATAAAGAGAACCCCAGAGAATGAAGATCTCTAACAGTGATGAGGGCTAAGCAGTGCCTGTGAGCAATCAGCTCCAGCCCTGCACTGACACACTTGCCAGCAGGAACATCCCTCCCTTCCTCCTGTTTGCTGCACACTCTATCCTGGAGCTGCCTCGTAGCTCCTGGCTCTGTGCTCACAACCAGTCATCACATGAGTGCCCCAAAGTGGGAATGTTGTCAAGGGGCTTCTCTGGGAGGCTGCCAGCACTGAGCATTCACTACAGTGTAGGATCCTCCCCAGTAAATCCTGCTTCACCTGCACTGCTGCCTTCCCAGCCTACTGGGATCCACCAGACAAGACCCAGCAGTGGAGCTGTCCTGCCAAAACAGAGCAGAGCCATTGTCCCTGGAGCCTGATATCCATCTGGAGGAGGAGCTGACTATCTCTGTCCGCCTCCCGCTCAAGGCCACTAAAATGTCTTTGCAAGTCTTAGGAATCCTTGTGGGAGCCAGCCAGGACACGAGGAGCCAGCTCAGCCTGGAAGAGGAGGTTGACTGAGGTAGAGAGCTCTTAGTTTGCTCCATCTGCTCTCCAGACTGAGTGGGAAGGGTGCTTGGCTGCCTGCTCCAGCCTCCTCCTCACCGCCTCCCATCACATCCTGTTAGTTCTCGGCAGGGGCTGGGTTTTTTGGGAGAGCTGCTTTCTGCACTGTGCCCTGCAAAGCTGATCTCTGCTGAGCTGTGAGCGAGACTCATCCCTGCGGGCGGGAGAGGCATCTCTGCCCGTTGAGCCAGGCAGGTCTGGCAGGTAAATCCTGGCTCAGTTTGCAGACCTTACCTGCAGGGTCAGTAGCCACAGGGCCTGTATTTCAAGCTCTCTGCAAGGTGCCACATCCCACCGGCTCTTTGGAGGAGTGAACATGGACAGAGCTAGAATTGGGAAAAGGTGCCACTTCAGGTGGTGAAACTCCCCTCTGCCACCTGCTGAACACCTGTGACACCACCACCCTCACTCCCTTTAAAATGGGGAGTACCTGTGGGACTGATACGGGATGTGCAGCACTGGAAGCCCCAGGAGGGAACTGATTCCCAGACAAACCTTAAGCCCCTTTGTTTTACAGAAACTTACACATGTTGGAAAGGAGATGCTGCTGGGGGCCTCCAGGAGGTGCTGGACAGAGGAAGAGCACAGCACCATTTCTGCTTCCCATCCCCAGCCATGCTTTCCCCTCTGTCTCAGGAGAGATGACTAATGCAAGTTACAGAAAGTGGAAATAGCTTCCTTGATTATTCTCTTCCTATCTGCTGGGCCTTAAGGAATAGAAAGTATTTATTAACATTCCTTATTTATGAAGGAACCATTAGGCCAGGGTGGTTAACTCTCACCACACAGGTTCCTAGGGATAGCACTGCAGAAGAACCACAGGAAGCAGCTGCCTGCAGGGTCTCCCAGTGCTCTGAGCCAGTGGGAAGAGGCAGGTTAAATCCAGTCCACAGTTAAATACAGTCTACAACTTCCTCCTGAGGGGCAGCACCAATCTCTGCTCTTTGATGACCAGGGACAGGAGGTGCAGGAATGGCTGGAGCTGAGCCAGGGGAGATTTAGGTTGGATATTAGGAGAAGAGGATGGAGAGGCACTGCCCAGGCTCCCCAGGGAATGGTCAGGGCCCCAAGGCTGCCAGAGCTCCAGGAGTGTTTGGACACTGCTCTCAGGGATGCACAGGGTGGGGCTGTCGGAGCTGTGCTGTGGGAACTCAACGACCCTCCCAACTCAGGATATTCCATGATTCCATAAATAAAGGCAGTTTTGCCCCTTTCTAGCACGGCACAGGGCTCAGTCCTACCCTGAGGCTGTCAGGACCCGGGCAGTGCTGGCAGGGCAGTGGCTGTGGCTGCACAGACAGAGCTTCCCTTGAGCAGCCACCAGCTGCTCCTGCCCTGGGGTTTGTGTCATCAGCTCCAGCGCTCCCGCCTCTCCCCATTGTTAGCAGGGACAATGGCACATGTGCAGGGCCGGGGGAGAAAGGGCTTTCCCTGCTCTGAGGAGCCCTCCTGCCCCAGCCACACCCGAATGCCTGCAAGAGGAGGAAGAGGAGGAGGCAGCCCTGCGTGCCCACACCGGGCTGTGGCTCCTCCAGGCACTCAGCCAGCCCTGCTCTTTCCCTTCTTGGCATCACAGCGCAAACACCAGCAGCCCTCCAGCCACATCAACCTCTTCTGGAGCACATGGCCACTCAGGGATTCTTCCCAGTCCGTAATGGCAAATTGTTTGGAGCAGGGGGGATTTTCAAGTGCTTCCCAGGCAGCTCAACACCCCTTTGTCGTCTACTCCTGCTTAGGCTGGAGAACCCACAAGTGTCTGGAGCCCCAGTCCCCCATCCCTTCCATCCCTTCCACTGTTGCCTTCAGGGACAGCAAGTGGGTCACTTCACATCCCTGGGGAGCAGTTTTGCCACAGAAAAAAAAACACCCTTAAGAAATTCTTTTTCTTTTTTTTTTTTTTTAATTTTTTTTATTTTTTTATTTTTAGTCCAGGCCAACCCCTCTGCTTTGAAATGTTAGTGTAGGAGAGATTGTGGATAGAGACAGCACTGTCATAAAGAGGCACTGAGATTTAGAAAGGAGAATCCTAATGTTAGAAAAAAGTTAGAAATTAAAGGGGGAAAAAAAAAATCAGGATTGTAGCAGTGAGAATTTACCCAGGCACGCAAGGAACTGTGCTAGTGAGTACTCATCTCTCTCAGCTATTACTTAGTATCCATTATCATGAATTATTTATTTTCTATTGTTATTATCAATGACTTACATTTTTATTAGTTATTATTATCTACAGTACCTAAAACTCAGCAAGTGGAGGCTCTGCCACATGGAGAATTCTTTATGTTTGGTCAAGAAGCACAACAAACATGAGTAAAACCAAGTTTTGCTGAGTTTGCTCTCCTATTGCTGAGGAATTCACAGCTGGGAACACCAGGAATAAACAAGAAAAGGCAACACATGCTTAATAAATCTCCCTTAAATGTTGAAATCTTCATTGCAAAGAGCAAACACCTTCTGTATTTTATAGAAGAAATGTCTCCCTGTGGCTAGGGGAGCTGGAGCATGTTCCAAAGCAGAAGCTACACAGCATCTGCTGTAACATTTATGCCTAAGGGGTTTGAGATCCTGCCAGTCAGCACTTGATTACAACTCACTCTCATATTCTTTTCAGATAATTCACAGAAATCTACCCATAAGATGTCAGCCTAGCAGGGTAATGGACACCAAAACATGGTAACAAAATATGCATTTAGGAACGCCAAGGATGGATAAACACCTCATGACATCACAATCTGCAGCTGCAGGGGAAAACATTAAAGAAATACAGGACAAGTGCAAACGCATGAGAGAAGAAGGTGTAGGAAAAATTGTAAACCAGAGGCTGAAAAAGCATTTTATTGAGGGAAAAGAAGATAGAGGAAGAAAAAAAAAAAAAAAAGTCACAGCTGCTACTCCTGGGGAGAAAAAAAGAGAAGGATTTCGTGAATACTGACATAAAGAGGCTTTCTCCAGTAACAATAAAACTGCTGTAAAAAACAAAAAACAGGTTGAGAGACAAGACCACCACAGCCTTTCTAAAGATGGGCCTTTCTCCAGCCGCTCGGAGCGCCGCCGGCCCGCACACCCCTCACGAACGGCGACGCCGACGGCTCTGAGGGCGCTGAGGGGAGCAGCGGGAGGCGCCCCCTTGCGGCGCGGGAACAGCGGCGCGGCGGCGGCGCAGCCCCGCCCCGTCTCCCTCAGGGCGCCGCCATGGCCTGTCGGTGACGGTCCCCGCACTCCAGCGGCACTCTAGGCTCCTGCTTCTCCCTCAGTGGCATTCGGGACAATCGCTTTCACTCCGTGTCTCTCAGCAAAAGCTTTCACCGAAACTCGGGGCACCTGCCTGTCCCTCAGCGACGCTTGGAACACCCATTTTCCTTCTCCATGTCCCTCAGGGCACCCAAGCGACACTCGGGACACCCATTCTGCCCCTTCATGTCCTTCAGCAAAAGCCCGCTGCGAAGCTTGGGGCACCTGCCTGTCCCTCAGCGACGCTTGGAACACCCATTTTCCTTCTCCATGTCCCTCAGGGCACCCAAGCGACACTCGGGACACCCATTCTGCCCCTTCATGTCCTTCAGCAAAAGCCCGCTGCGAAGCTTGGGGCACCTGCCTGTCCCTCAGCGACGCTTGGAACACCCATTTTCCTTCTCCATGTCCCTCAGGGCAGCCAGGCGACACTCAGGACACCCACTCTGCCCCTCCGTGTCCCTCAGCGAAAGCCCTCAGAGAAACTTGGGGCACCTGCTCAGCGAAAGGCGTCACTCGGGACACCCACTCTGCCCCTCCGTGTCCCTCAGCGAAAGCCCTCAGAGAAACTCAGGGCACCTGCCTGTCCCTCAGTGACATTCGGGACACCCAATTTTCCTCACAGCGCCCCAGGGACACTCCAGGAACCTTCCTCTGCCTCTCTGTCCCTCAGTGTCAATGGGGCACCCACATTCCCCGTCAGTGACCCCTGAAGCCCCTCAATGACAGGGTACCCCACTGGCCCTGGTGACCCCCACAGACCCCTCCTCTGCTTTTCTCTTCAGTGCCAATAATCTCCAGCACTGCTAAACCCGAAGCCTCTGAGTAATTTCAAGTCCTAAAACAAATGCATAAGATTATTTTTAAAAAAAACCCAAAATTCCTATTGAAGTTCATATGCTGTCTTAAAACCCTTTGGAACAAGTATGTTCCTAAGCTTTTTGTCGCAAGGATTGACTTATTTACTATGGTTATTTACACATGAACATAAACTGTATTTATATAGTCCTTTACTGTTGGAAGAGTGGAAGGTGTTTGTGTCAGTCAGTTATGACATGATTTTTCATTTTATTCTTTCCAGGGAATAGAATTTTTTATGCCATGGTTTGTTTTGGTTTTTTTTTTTTTAATACTGTGAATCTGTTTTGAAGAGATTCAGATTTCAGTTAAAAAACATTGGGTAAGACACTCCAAAAAGCAATATTTTTTAACTTGAAGGACTTACTGATAGTACTTACTTATTTCTAAGGTTACACGTTAGTAAATTTAAAAAAAAAAAACCTTAAAGCAAGTTTTTTGTAACCAAAGGAAAACCAGAAAATTCTGTTGGTGTCAATCAGAGGCAGGGATAAAAAGAAATAGTAATAATAAGAAAGGCAGGGAATGAATTAGATGAAAACCAGAGGAAAACATTGCTATTATAATCATGCTACACACACGGGGGAAGGCTCTTCTTGCAAAACACACACTTAAGAAAGCAGGGATTTACTAAGCACCACAAACAACATAACCTGCTGTTTACTACAAGAAGAGTAAACAAACACTAGGAACCAACCCACAGCTTCTTTTCATGCAATTCCTCTCTGTGCTGGCAGGCCAGGGCTGCATTTCTGAATATATATTGGAAATAAATCACATGAAGCTCCACTGAGATGAAGCAAAGCGTTGTAAATATGAATTAATCAAGTGTGAAGGGCCAACAAAGATGGTCCATGTGTCCTCACGCAAAGCAATGATTTGATGGAGCCAGCCTCTTCCTCTTAATAATACATGGATTGCTTTTGCTTGGGAGAGATGCAAGGGAATCAGAATTCCAGAATGGTTTTGAGTTGGAAGGGACATTCTACTCGTGGGGCGTCTCCATCCAGGGAATTCCGAGTGGAAGCAGCAAAAGGAGTGATGAGGAGGAGAAGCGAAGGCAGGGTGTTGATCCTGCTGGGAACCACGAGAGCGCAGCATTGCCCTTCGCTGGGCTGGTGCTCGCAGGTGCAGCGGGCACAGGGAGAATTCCTTGTAGGTGAAAACAAATTGCACAACCCACCAGTCCTGTGCTTTCTTGATGGAATACAGGCCGTTCGTAGGGCGGGTTTTGGTTTATTTTTTTTATGTTTTAACGATTTTTGCTTTTCAGAGCTTAGGTTGGTGTTCCCTGGTGGGATAGATAGGAGGGGTGAAAGTGAGTTTTGTGAGCTGCACAGCTCTATTTTGTGTACATACTCTTAGGCCTGACTTACTGAAGCGGGGCTTTAGTGGAGATTTCAGTGGGGAGAAGCACTCCCAGCTGTATGGAAAGTAGATGGGAATAATAATTAAAAAAAGTTAAAATCTGCTGATCTCTCAGCAGTTTAGCAGATTGAAATGATGAAAACAACTTCTGAATTCTGGCAGTAGTGTGCTTGGAGTGTGCCATGGGCTCCTCCAAGTTTTATGGTTGCATTAAAGGGGTAAGGGAGACTCTAATGGAGACTGATGGCAGGGAAAGAGAATAGAATCACTGGAAAGCTGGACTGGTAGAGTCATTCAATAAATTATAAGTCTCCCTTCTCTGTCGCAGGCTTTTAAGAACCAGCAATGTTGCTGGCACACATCTGTGTGTGGTGGTGAAGGAGTGAGTGGCTTAGACCTGGGAGCGCTCCTGGATTGTTTTTCCAAGCCTAATATGTCCATCTTCTGCAGGTGTGAACATCTGACCCTGTCTGGACGGCTGTAGACCTCAGTGCTGTGCTTCCTCAGTGCTTCCTGCCTGGCTGCAGCTCAAACTACCTTGACCTACAAAACAATTTCCAGCCCCTTGCTAAACACAACAAAGAACTGTCCATTGATCACTTAAATGTTTTCCAGTCCCCCGTCTAGCCAAACTCTCTCTTTGGCACCACTTACCACTCAGTAAACCTCAGCCAGCAGGAAAAAAAAATTGTTTCCTTGTTTACAAAATAAAAAGAAAAGAATGATTCTCTGATTCAAAGGCCTGGGGACCTTGTTTACCCTCCAGCCTGGAGTGATTTTTTATGGGCAGGTTTATAAACCCCTGCACAGCCAGCTCTGTAGTGCTGACAGACCTTTCAGTGTAGCTGCTTTAACACCTCTGCTCTGACAGGAGCGCCACTGTGGATCTCAGGGATAGCAGCAGAACAGACAGACATTTTTGGCTATTGGCAGGCTCATGTGTACTGCAGAGACCTTTATCTTGCTAAGGGAGTGGAGCCCTTTTAGTGTCTTGATGGGGAGAGGGCAGGAATTCGACATGGACAAGGCCAACCATTCCAGTCCTGCTAAAGCTGCTGTTATGCCCTGAGTTTTTGAGGCAGAAACTTGGTACAGTGTGTAAGGGAAAAGTGTTGGGATGAGCCTTGTTCTAGAGCTGTCACCAGCAGTGTTCTGTCACCAGTGTCACAACACAGGACCTGAAAACCCCTCAATGTTCTTTGTGCCCCCTCTGGCATGTGCTCTTCTGCAGCCTTTGGTTCTTCCTTATCATAAATCCTGCAGGATTTAACTTCTAGCTACTGATCCTTTTGACAGTAATGGACCATTAACTAACTAGACATAAAATTGAAAGTGTAAATCCCTCTGCCTTGGGGAATTAGAAAGCAGGTTTAGGATGCCAGGCCATGAAACGAAGGAGTTCATTGTAATCACAAATGAGGCCTGATTAACTCTGCCTGCCTGGCACCCTGATCTGTGCCAGCTGATGAACACGAGACCAGGAGGTGAGGCTGGTGCTACAGGACATTTGCAAGTGCCAGGGAAAGCCTTTAGTCTTGGTGCTTGAGCTTCTTTATCCCATTGCCAGGACCTTCCCTGTAGAACAGTGTGGGAGTCTGGGCTGCTGAGAAGTTATCTCCAGACACTGATGCTGCTCTGATTGGAAGTTTGGTGTGTTGTCCTTTGTTGGGATAAGGAGAGAAGGGAAGCCCAGAGGTGAAGGTGCCTCTGCCCCTGGGGAACAACATCAGGGAGAAGGATGAGGTGATGGAGCAGCTCTGCAGGATGGTGTGCACCAAGTCCAGTTCCCAGCCCTTCCTGGGCTTCCAGTGACGTCACAGGCTCTGCTCTGAGTCTGTGGGAGTGAGTTTGCTTCTCTCTCTTTTCACTAGACCTTCAGATCAGTGCCCACTGATTAAAAAGTTAATTACCTTCCTCTTGCAGAAATGACTCTGCTTTCAAGGTCTCCCAGGCCCTTAATTGAGCATCTTTCTGTGACAGAACTTTCGATTGAATTGCAGTGAGTCACCATCAGAGCCAGGATGGCCAGGTCAGATGAGGATGTCTTCAGGGAGCCAACGGGGCTCTGCATGTGCTGAATGGAGTGGTCCCAAACTCCTCAGGAATAAGCAACTGCATCAGAGAGAAGAGAGGGAATTGGGTGGAGTCTGCATTTCTGTGACCTCCTGGCAAGCGAAGTGCCTGGTGGCTAGTGGTCCCTGCACACCAGAGCCAGCCCCACCAGCTCTGTGTGTTTCAGCACTTCCCTCCTTACCCTGGATCCTGTGGCCACGCTCCTGAGCTGAGTGCCTGTGCCATTCATCATGCCGGCAGCACAAGAGCAACTGGAAAAAGTGTCTGGAATTTATCACCGATGGCAGGAGCTTTTGTCTGTAATAGAAAACATTTTCTCCCTCCTCTCTTCTAGAGCTTTTCTCCTTCCCTTCTCTCATTATTATTATTATTAAGAAGCTTAATGCCATATGTCTTGCTGTTTCATAAATAACCCCTGTAATCAAACAGCACTGGGTAAATGGGCAGTCCGGCTTGTGCAATTTGTTTGACAAAATGAATCCAGAAAAATATGAGTCTGTGGAGGAAAGACAAATAGAGCAGCTTGGATGAATGTGTAAACCAAGAGAAAAATGGCTTGGCAGAGCAGCTGATGCTATTTTTATCCATGCAAATGAAGTTTGGGGCTAATTTATTAAAAATACAGTACAGAACTTGCCAGAATGGTCAGTGTCTCCTGGAATGGAGAGCAAGAAAGGTTCTCTGCCTCCTGAGGGTACAGGGGGTGCAGCTAAGGAGGGAGTGAGGTACAGACTGGAGTGTGCTTAAGCTGCCAGAAGGAGGGCTGGGCCTGGAGCATCACCCAGGTGGCAGGAAGGGAGGAGAAACTGCCCTGGGCTGGTGGTCCTGGCATCCATCCATCCATCCATCCATCCATCCATCCATCCATCCCAGATCACAGGGAGATCCCAGAGTTACCTGAGGTCAGGAGAGCCAGCTCTGGGCTGGGTGCGACCGTGATGAATCCCAGATAGCCAGGGTTAGATCTGTGCCTTCCTGAACAACGGGGCTGTTGCTCCCTGTACCCTGCTCAAGACGTATCTGAGTATCCATGTGAACTTCCTTGGGTAGGAAATGCTGCAAACAGCTCCTGCAAGGCTGTCTCTGCAGTCTCTTCCATGGGAAATCCATCCCAGAAGACAGTGAGAGCCTGTCTCAGCCTGGGAGCTGCTGCAGCCTAGAGGAGAAATCCCTTCATTCTGCAGCAGGGCCCTGCCTCTTCCTCACCATCAGGCGGCAGTACAGGCTCTGGTGCCTGGCCGGGCTGGGAAGTGCAGATGAAGGGGAGCATTCTTTCATTGAAGAGAAGTATCTTGGCTGCTGCTCCCTGCAACTCACCTTTTGTGGATCTGCCCCGTGGCCAAGGCAGCTGAAAAGCTGAATTTTTAATCAAAGCAATGAATTTGTTTCTAGGGAAGTAGGGGTTCTGGAGAGGGGGATGTTTCCCTTCCTTCTCACCTCCTTCCCTCAGAATACTTGAGATATCTTTGCTCTGACTTTGCAAGCACAACATTGTCCTGTGGGCTCGAAGGGAGGCCTGTGGGATGATGTGCACACGGGGATACAGGAGGAAAAGCAGAGGCTGGGCCTGAGCTGTGTGCTGGAGGCAGGCAAAGCTGCAGTGCAGGTGGCTCACGTGTTGGACCGCACATCCACAGCCAGGGATGCTGGCTCATTAGTCGAGGAAACAACTCTCTCCTTCCTGGCTGCTTCCCTCCTCCTCCTCCAAGTGGGAATGCAGCCCCCATCCTTTTCCCCCATTCTTGGTGTGTATGAGTATTCTTTTTTAAGTGAAAAGCTGAATATTTTAAACAAACACTGCTTAAAATCTATAATTTATGGGCAAGGCTTCAGAAGAGGAGATCATTCATTTCTTGGTGCTGAGGGTGTCTCCATCTGCAGCAGACCCACTACTCTGTTCCCAGTTGACTGGTGCAGCATTAGGGATTAGGCTTGGGCATGGCAGCACTGAGCAGCACACAGAAAATTCCCAGCTCTGAATGAAGGAAAACCGGATTTTCTTCTCTTGAAGGCAGGAACAGCTCCAAGCCCTCCACCAGTGGGATAGCCCTCCTGCTTGCCCACCTGGAAGCAGCTGGCTGGGCCCCACTTTTGGCCCAGAGCTGGGCTACCTGGCACAGCTCTTGGAATGGGTGTTAGGAATAGGCAGCCCTGCTTCAGCTCCCAGCTCACCCCTTACTTAAAATATGAGGGAGTCAAGGTACAGGTGAGCAGTCTGAGCTGGCAGAGGCTGAGCTCTCAGAGCTGGCAGGTCAGACATGATGAGAAGCTGAATCAGGATCTGAACTTGAGCTTACGGGCACTGCTGGGCAGTGGGAGAGCCCAGGTCACTGGGAGAAGACCCTGCCTCTGCTGTCCTTCTCCTCTCTGTGCCCCTGCATGTTCCCCAAGCTGAGCTGCATGAGGGAGAATTCCAGGCTTGTTCGTTAATGGGAGCAGAGAGACTTTTGCTTCGATTAATTAATTTGCTGCTCTTCCCCATTTTCAGGACCATCTTTTATTCATGGCCAAGTAGCTCAGACACCGCTGCTTGCTGCCTGTTCAGGATGCTGGCATTAATATTTCATCCCAGAGCCTGCTTGTGCTGAACAGAGCTCATGTCCCATGTTCCTGCCTCTTCCCGATGTTCTCCTGCCCTGGCCCAGTTCATATTTCCCCCTTCCAGCCCCAGGCTGGGTCTCCCTGTCTCTTCACCAGTTGCATGGGTTCTCTTAGGATCATATTCCCTGGGAATTAAATGTGGCACACTTGGAGCTGGGGCTTGGAGCTCACTGCCTTTGTCTCCTGTGGCTCTGGGCAATCAGCCCTGCACAGAGGGTGTTGTGCTCACTGTGGGAATAATGGGTTCTGGGAGCAACTTGTGATATCAAGCAGCAGGGAGAGGGGAGTGACTCATCCTGCTGTCCCCTCCCAGGAAAGCAGGATAGATATTTCAGTTGCCAGAGGAGCAGTGTGGTGCTGTGGCTGCAACCTGGGAGAAAAGAAGGCTGTTGAAGAAGAAAACCTGGGCGGTACCTTTCTGGGCAGCAGCAGAAATGAGGAAATGACACTCTCTTGCTTCTTCACCTCTCTCCTGGCTCCTGTGCATGCACTTTCTAGCATTCCTTAGTTCTGCAGAGCTCCAAGGCCAGGAGCAGCCTTTGCCTACAGCTCTGCAGCCCCAGCAAGGCATCGTGTCTGAACGAGGGCAGGCCACAGTGCAGCTGTTTGGAGTGGCACTTCATTTACTGAATGGCAGCTCCATAATCCTCTTCAAATAAAAAGACTGTGGAGTCTCTGTACTGGGAGCTGATGGAAGGCTTTGCTCTCAGGCAGGTGGCACAAAGGGAGTATCTCCTTGCTGCATGTAGGAGTTCCTGGGTTTTTCTTGGGCTTTGTCATTTGATTATTTGTTCTCTCATTTGTCGCTGGGGTTAGTGGATATGATTCATTCTCCCTGATTAAGCCACTTGTTTTGGCAGGGAAGCATTTCCCAGATCTCATGGGATGGGATGAGAGGCCTTGCAAGGCACAAACTGTGCCCTTCCCTCTTCATCCCAGAGATGCCAGAGCTGATTCCTGGTACATCTTCCAGGTCTCCAAGAACAAAACAGCACAGCAGCTAATGAAATGTCTGGCCCCAGCCCCCTGGCTCAGAGGCTGCAGAGCCACCAAACCAAA